TGTCTGGATTGAGTACAAGCTTTTTTGGTAGTCCGCAGAAAAACTATTTGCATTTTTTATATTGCACTCAAACTACAGCCCCTGGAACAGATATGTGCAATGAATGTTTGTGTTGCTGCAGAGTCCCCCCCTTCAGGATCTTTTTGTGTGGGGCAGAGTGGGGCAGAAATTCTGATCTGGTGTCTGCTTCAGCCTTCTGGTGAAGGCTGAAAAGAAGTGCCGCTAGTAGCGAAGAGCTGGAGGGCCTCATTCCAGTGGAACTGCATCCTGGCCTGGAACTGGCTGACCATCTCAGCCTGCTGAGCCTCCAGGCACCAGTACCTGGCCTTGCACTCCCGCAGGTCTTCCCTCTGCTTGGAAATCCCATGCTCCTAGTCCTCAGTGAGGTGCTTCTGCTGAGCCTCCTCCTCAGCCAGATCCAATTTGAACAGAGCTGTTTTGCCAACTCTTTCTCCTGGTGGCTGCTTAGCTCCAGCAACTGCTTCCTGTTAGGGCACTAAGGAGCCCTGGTGGGCAGGCGAGGAGTGGCGAGTAGAGGCTGGCAAGGCACCCCTTGACGTGAGTGACATTGTTGGCCACGTCCACCCAGTCACATGGCCATCTAGCCACACCCATCCAGCCGGTCATTAGGCAGATCATATTAGTGATCTGCGGGATATAAAATTATGTATTTAGTGGTCCCTGAGGTCCAAAAGGTTGGAGACCCCCTGAGCTAGTCCAAGTCCCTTTTTATAGTGGGGTGACATGTTCTGTTAGCTTCCAGCAGAAATCAGAGCCCAGACCAACACCACTAACGTTCCCCACATCCTGTGAATGAGTGCCATCTTGCAAGATACCTGGGAGGGGTGGAAATCCTCATTAAAGAAGGTGATGCAGTGGGAGGATAATATATATATGAGTAATTAAACAAGAAATTCAGAAATCCCCCCACATACAGATGTTTGAGAAAGATTTGTACGCAACCAGTTCCTTTTTCATCACCTTACAGAATTACAGCAATCCCAAATCTTTGGGGAGGGCTTGACAATATTGCAAAATGTTTGAGGCCAATATGAATGCAAGCTTGCGGGATTGGTATGGAATTAACAGCCAACTCCTATGTCATTGGCAGGGAAACTTGGTATAAGCTCTCCGCGGGATATGCTAACTGGCCATCAACTAAATCCGAGGTAAAGCAATGCTTTTTTTCTTTTTTTGCACAGACTGGGAACTGGGGCGGGGGAGAGGGGAACGTAATAATGACTTACAGTGGACAGCATAACAATTAAAAGTACTCCTATAGAGTTGCTTCTATCCCACCGTTCTTGAAAGGATTCGGAAGCTATCCATGCCCCTCCTGATCTTGGAAGGCTGAGAACAGACAGGGCACAGACAGGGCTAAACAGCTCCCGATAGGAGAGGAGAGGAGAGGATAACGCAGCACAGCACAGAAATAAGAATAAGAACAGAACAGAATAAAGAATCAGGAATAGAATAGAATAGAATAGAACTTTATTGGCCAAGTATGATTGGACACACAAGGAACTCGTGACTCTCCGAAACTCCTTGCCAGGCTCTGCCAATATCAGCCTGGCAGCTCTCCAAGCCAGATAAGGTCTGTGACCGTAAATCCTCCCCTTGAAGGACTTTGCTGGATGTGAATGAGCAGAATTCACAGTCAATTAATAAAAGGTTTTTTTTTGTTGGGACGAGGAGTTTGCTTCAAGCTCTTGGGAAGCCTCAGTTAGAATAATGATTTTTTTAAAAAAAATCATCGGCAACCGTTCCCATGTCATCGTTCTGAGACCAGTCCGAATTCTTGGCTGAACTGCCTATTCCTGCCAGTTCTCCCCAACTAAATGTGCAGGTTTGTGCCTTCCCGTGTCTTTCCTTTCAGATTTTAATTTCTGTCCCTGCATTTCTCTTTCAGAAATGGATTCACAGAGCCCTGCAGGCAGACCGCAGGCACAACATTACCACAATGAACCGGTGAGTTACGGGATTTTCTTGTCCCTTGGCTGGAGAAATCCTACCCGTGATTTGCAGGTGGTATGTGGCTTGTTTGCTGTTTTTTTATTTATTTAGCTTTTCAAACATGTACAAACTAATGTGTATAAGTATAAACATGGACATGAACAAAGGCAGTAAGTACAAATAAATGGGGACAGTAAGACAGGGATGATAGGCATGCTGGTGCGCTTATACACACGCCCTTTATGGACCTCTTAGGAATGGCTTGAGGTCCACAGTAGACAGTTTAAGGTTGAAGCTGTGGGGGTTTGAGGATGTAACAACAGAGTCAGGTAGAGCATTCCAGGCGTTGACCACTCTGTTGCTGAAGTCGTATTTTTCTGCAATCAAGTTTGGAACGGTTTACCTTGAGTTTGCACCTATTGTTTGCCCGTGTATTATTGCGGTTGAAGCTGAAGTAGTTGTTGACAGGCAGGACATTGTAGCAGACAATTTTGTGTACTACGCTTAGGTCAGACCTTAGGCAGCATCGTTCCAGGTTGTCCAAACTCACAATTTCGGTGGCATAAGGGATTCTGTTGCGAGCAGAGGAGTGGGGGACTCTTCTTGTGAAATACCTCTGGACCCGCTCAATCGTGTTAATGTCCGTTATACAGTGTGGATTTCAGGCAGGCGAGCTGTATTCGAGGATTGGTCTGGCAAAGGTTTTGTATGCCCTAGTTAGCGGTACAATGTTACCGGAGAAGAAGGTTCGCAAAATTAGGTTGACAATAATAATGCCTTTTTGGCAATGCTGTTGCAGTGAGCTCTGGGGCTTAGATTGTTTGAGATGACTACTTCTGGGTCCTTGACAGAGTTTTGCTGATAGGAATAACATTACTTTCCTTCGGGGACTTACGAATTTTTTTACGTTTTTAATCAGGGCTCTCAGATTCAAGGACAAACCTTATGCTAGAGAAATTTGGTTTGCTCACATTTTCTTTCCCTCCATTTCAGCAAGGATATTGCCAAGGTGAATATTTTCTATGAGCAATTAGATTACTACTCTTGGGATGAGTCTCCAGAATATAACGTAAGTTGGCCAGGAGGGGAGGGAGGAGGAGAAATCCTCTTTCATGTACCTGCTTTACGCCAGGAAGACGACAACATTCGAAGCCGCTAACTGTATGATTCATATTTTTTTTATTTGGGGTTCAGGTGACTCTGGTGATGTCCAACATGGGAAGCCAGTGGAGTCTTTGGTTTGGATCGTCTGTCCTCTCGGTGGTCGAGATGTTTGAGTTCCTCGTGGACGTCACCATCTTATCTCTCATCTTCTTCTATCGGCGGCTGACGGCCAAGAGGAGGCACAAGATGTCAAGGCCCCCTAAGGTGCCAAGTGTGAGTTTGACCTTGGAGAAATACCGCTACATCGAAGAAGGTCTGGCCATGGACCAAGATGCAGAGAAGTCTCAGGCCAGCTATGAGAACCCATCCTTCATTCCCGACGAGGGACTCCCTCCGTATTCCAAACACAACAAGTATCAGATGCCGGAGCTATATCCTCCTGTGGTTCTTCACCGATTCAAGCACCAAGAAGATCAAGGGACACACCAAGATCCTCCCAAGAGTTAACAGCCACGAAGCCATTTTCAGAGTTCCTCTGCGGAGGAAGTGCAGCTTGCGAAGGGAGCGGTGAATTCAGAGGTGAAATCCTGCAGGTTCTGACAGGTTCTGGAGAACCAGTAGCGGAAATTTTGAGTAGTTCGTTGAACCGGCAAATACCGTCTCTGGCTGGCCCCAGAGCAGGGTGGGAATGGAGATTTTGGCAGTATCCTTCCCCTGCGATGCCCACCGAGCCACGCCCACCGAGCCACACCCACAGAACTGGTAGTAAAAAAAAACTGAATTTCACCACTGGGTGAATTCTCCCCAGTTGGAAATGTCAAAGCCCCAAAGGATAGGACCTAAGGGATTGGCCGTTCAACACCTGGTGGTGGAATGGGGGATTGTCCTCTTCCAGGTTCTCTAGATGCCCCTCATGGCAGATCAGTGACTATGTCTGGAAGTGAAAGACAGGACTTCTTCAATGAGCTCATGAAAGTCACGGAGGTCAACCACCCCCCACCCTTTTTTCCCACAGACTAGGCAGTTGACACACCGTGTGCTGATGAATTCCTGAGTTGACTTGAACATGTTTCTTTTTTCTTCTGTTATTTCTGTTGCAATATTTGTCCTATAGATAATCAAGGTTTTTTATTATTATTATTATTTTGAGCTGTTCCGTAAATGTATGTATGTATGTATGTATGTATGTATGTATGTATGTATGTATGTATGTATGTATGTATGTATATCTTAGTTTTGACTCAAAGTTCTCCCGAGAAAACCAGATTCAGCCCGGCACCGTCAACTAGAATAAATTGGATCCACGACATTTCACAGATGTGCTCAGGTTAAATGTTAAACCACTCAAATGTTCCCCCACCCTAAAAATACCTCGAGGAAACATTCTATATTGTCTGCATTAACAGGAACTCCGGGTTCTTTGAGCAAAAGGACGTTTTCTGCTTCTTGAGTTGGCCCATGTTTGGGGGATTGTGATGTTCTGTTCCTCTTTGAGAATGTGGAGCTCCGTGTTCCCTAAGTCCAACAGGCGAAGCAATAGTTATCACAGTGCAAGGCGGCCAGTGTCCAAAATTAAGTCTAACCTTCTTCTGAAACTGAATATAGTCCAGGGGTCGGCAACCTTAAACACTCCAAGAGCCACAAAGGTCCTAACCGGAAGCCCTCTTTTCCATTCTGGAGCTGACCAGAAGTCCAGTTCCCCCACCATAGAGCCTCCTCCTGGGGCGCCGTGCTTCCCCCCTACCCCAAACCAGAAGCTCCTCTTAAAATTGTGGCGCCAACCAGCGACAGGGAGCCGCAGCAGAGGGATGAAAGAGCCACATGCGGCTCCAGAGCCACACAGGTTGCCAACTCCTGATATATTGTCAAACTCTCAGGCGAGAAAGAAAAAAGTACCTGCGTGCAACTACATTTCTGTGATTCGCTGGCAATAACAAGCCTTCGGATTGGTTGAATGTGATCGCCCCGCCTGGAACACATTTCAGTCATCGCTTTTGTCGATGATGCTTGATCATTTTTAGGTCAGTCTAGAAGGAAATAAGAATTTCTGCAAGCAAAATGTCAGCGGTAGAATGTTTGCCAGTTCCCAGCAGAGGTAGCTTTGGCATCGGGTACTAAGGAAGCTTTTTGCCGTAGACATGAAACAGAGAATTGGGGAGACGCCATTAAATTCTTTTAAAAATCAGCTCTGCTACTGGAGGCTGAAAAGCAAGTTATACTGGGAGGATCCACCTTGTCGGGCGCATTCACATGTTGCTAAGCAAAACAATTAAATATGTTAGCTCAACTACCTGTGTCAAATACCCAACTGACACGTAGATGGAGGCATCCTGCGAAATCCACATTCTCTAACTTCTGATTCTGAACAGAGCCAAATATGGTACCCTTCATGGATAAGAGAAAGAGGCTGTGGTGGAATCTCCTAAGAGTTTAAAAAAAGAGAGAGGGAATTAAAACAGTTGAGGAGGGGATGCTACCAAGGAGCCAAAGAACAAGGAATGACTAATGATGGGGAAAAGGGAGAGAGAGAAAGGAGTGGAAGAAGAATGCAAAGAGAGAGTTTGCAAAGCAGCGTAGCCGACAGCCTGCTCTCATTTGCAGGGGCTAAGGGCAATTGAAACCAACCCGCCTTCTAGGAAGGTATCAAGGAACACTTGTTCTAGATCAAGACAATCTCCTCTTCCAACTGCAAACAACTCGGTGGTTCTGGAAAGCCAATATTTTCAACTCCCCCCCCCCCCGCGATCTCTGGCAGACACAGGTGTGTTAACCTCAGGTATGCCAGGAAGAGGATGAACAGACTTCTCTGAGTCAGCCTAGGTAGAATGATGTCATCAGACACCTGTCGCTGTCGCTGTTCCCTTTCTCTCCCCTTTTCATGTTGATTTTGATTCTCTTCACAGTTGTGCTGCTATTGAGACCTGGGTGTAATTGTAAATATGAGTATCTGACTGTAAATTATTTGGGATGTGTGCAGGTGTGAGTGGGAAGATTAAAAAAACTGAAGCTTTTTTTTTTTTTTTTGCTTACCTGGTGTGGTTTAATAACTTATTCGCCTTGTATGTTGTTTGTTCGTTCTTTGGATTTTTGGAAAGTTGAAATAGCAGACAGGAAATGCTCAGATTACTTTATTGTCCTTCAGTATCATCATCCACCCACCTACCCACCCATCCATCCATCCATCCATCATCCGTCCATCCATCCATCCATCATCCACCCACCCACTCATGCACCCATCCATCCATCTATCCATCCATCCAGCCATCATCCATCCAGCCATCATCCATCCACCCACCCACCCACCCACCCATCCATCCATCCATCCATCCAATGTTCAAGGTTCAAGGTTCATTTTATTTATATGCCGCCCTATTCC